AAAAAAATTATTAAAAAAAAAATCACGGATGACAGGTAAAAATCATGGATGACAGAGCAGGTGTCCTCAATATATTCTGAGGATCCCTTGGCAGGCAGCAAATATCTGTCACCCAACAAAGTCCTGGAGGCAATCCAGGCAGCCACTGCTCTGACAATAAGCCAGATGTTTTAGGAGGATGTGCCTCCAAAGAATCCTCTCTTCTCACCTTTTCTTATTTGTCCTAGATAATTTGGCTTGACTCATCACTAATGTGGATATGCCACAGGCGTCATTCAGGAGCATTCCCAAAGTTTTGGCCCAAAACAGCACTCTCTGCTGTCTTTCCTCACTTTCTCTGATTGACCTGCTCGAATCAGGAGTCATTTTCCTCCTGAGCCACTAGAGAGGAAAGTGCTATGGTGTGCCCTAGAGAACAGAGCTCCTTACAGAGACAGGGAGCTGTCTGAGGGCAGGCGGGACAGATGACCTCCTGAGGGTCGACAACCAGACACCGTTGTTATTACTCTGTCCTCACTGGAAACCACAATCCTGCCAAATGTTTTGATTTTAGAGCCTCTATCAGCTGGGAAAGCCAACAAGCTGGGCTTTTCCCCCTGGGATTTAACTGAGGCATTAAACTGTATTTCAGCAGAACGGCAGAGAGAAACGGTGTGCTCACCCAGTCACTGCGACTTTTGTTCCTCAGGTTCCATTTAAAGGGCAGTTCTGCTAGTTACTGCGTCTTGGTTGGAACGGAAAGCCTTTGGAATCACAGTGTTCCTGTGTGTGAACGTGAGTACAAAGAATGCCTGTTCAGGTCGGCACCTCCCTCCGTATTTTGTTTGCTTGTTTGTTCGTTTAATGTGTTTTGCCTGTAAAATTACCTAATATTTGCCCCTTTGTTGATCTTCATTTTGGATCGACATCTCTCTTTGTTGCAAGGATTGTTTCATCATGTGTTTTGGGGATCATCCTATAAATGTTTATAAGTATAATGTGTGCTACAAATGGAGAGAAATACTTCGTAGATAGAGGGAAATTTAGAGCCTGAAGCATTTTTCCTGTCAAAAATGATAGCTTTTCTACCTTTGTCTCGATCAGCTGTTCATTCCTAGCCTCATTCTTTTGAAAAATAATTTTGAGCACCTGCTATGTGCCAACCAGTCTTCTAGACATTGGGAATACCTAGTCTGTAAACAAAACAGACTAGGACCCTGCTTTCATGTTGTTTATATTCTTGTGTAGAGAGAAAGACAAAAAAAAAATAACAAACAGGGACCCCTGGGTGGCAAGGTCAGTTAAGCGTCAGACTTGGTTTTGGCTCTGGTCTCAGTCTCAGGGTCATGGGATCGAGCCCCACATTAAGCTCAGAGCTGAGCTCGGAGTCTGCTTGAGAGTCTCTTTCCTCTTCCTCTGCCTTTCCTGTTTGTGCTCTCTCGCTCTCTCTCCCTTGAAATAACTAAATCTTTAAAAATAATGGCAAGCAAACACATAGACTATTTCAGACAATACCAAGTGTTATTACAAAAAAAATAGGGTAATTCAATAAAATAATTCGACATTGGGAATACACCTGTAAAGAAGTTGTTTCCTTGCAAAAAGAAAGACTAGGACCTTGCTTTCCTGTTGTTTATAATTGTTTTTAAGAGGACAGAAATGTAATGTGTTAAACAGAAACACTACTAATATATTCAATCTACCCATTTATTTCTTCATGAAATCAAACAGGATGTTGCTTCATCTTCTGATCATAGCTGTTGAAACATATGTGTTTATAATAGAATGTTTTCACATGAATACTTTGCTCTAAAGTCGTTTGGAAATTTTGTATTGATTTATATAATGAAACTCAATAATTACATCCTTCGTATCTGGAAGTCAGCTATTTGAAAATCTTCACTTTCCTGGAATATAGTTAAGAAGCATGAAGGAAAGAAAGAAAAAATACTCCCATGAACCCAGATGACACCAAATATCACTTACTAGAGTGTAAACATTGGTTAAGCTATTCCACCTTTTGATTGTTCATAATTCTTTCACGCTGCAGTATCCTCTCCCAAATACAGATCAAATCAGAAAGGGAAAGGAATATCTCCAGACAGTTATGCTCAAAAGAAGAAATGTGTATTTCTGCAATGAGAAAAAAAAAACCTGTAAAAGCTAATAAATATCTCAAAAGTCATAACATTTCTGCATCTTCTGGATCGTGTATAGGACCATTGTGATGTTTCACTCATTGTGATGGCATTACTATAACCATCCATTTTGTTTTTGAGCATAACAGCCTCAAGTCATCAAGAAAAGATTAAATCAGTGATAGACAAATAGTACATGTATAATATATTTTGAAAGATCTCTCTGGGGTGAAGATCCTTGATGTCAAAAAAGATTTTCTCTGTCTTGTGCTTAAAATAGTACTTAAAATAGGTCCTCAAAAAATTCCTGTTGAATTGATTGATAATTTTCTTATTAAATGGTTGATTTTCTTCTCATTGGAGTTAAGAAGACTGTTGTCTATTTTAAAAGAATGAGCTCTCAATTATCCAGAAATCTTAACTCTCCAAAAGTTCAGGATGATTAAGTCCCTTCTGGGCTTTGATTTCAGTGTCATTTCATTCAGAAGCATCTCAACAGAGACCTAATGTATTTATTTTGTGGTTTATACTCTTTTGAGAGTTAATTATTTAATTGACAACACAGTCACAGCACATCCCATAATTGTGGAATCAACTCAGATTAAAAATATAAACATTTTAATGTAACTTATAGCACTTGTGTTTTTTCCAGAAATCTTTTGTCCAAATCCTCCCTCTATCCTTAACGGGCACTACACCGGAACTTCTCAGGGAGACATTCCCTATGGAAAGGATGTTACTTACATGTGTGACCACCATCCAGCCAGAGGGATGACCTTCAACCTCATCGGGAAGAGCACCATCCGCTGCACAAGTGACGGTCAAGGGAGGGGGATTTGGAGCGGCCCTGCCCCTCACTGTGAACCTGCTGGTCCTGCTGGTTAGTACCCATGTACCCCGAATGGATTCAGAACATCTGGCCGAGATCCTTCATATTTCCATAAGATTATGGTGTTTGTTTGTGAGTTTAACATTGTCATAAGTGAAAGTGTCAGAGTTGCATGCCATAGTTAAAACAGATGAGTCCAACAGTGCCAAGCTGTGTTTGAGTAGTAAGATGTGAATAACTCTTCTTGCTGGTGCAGTGGTGAACAGAGTGGGGTAAGAGGAAAAAGGAAAGGGTGAGGGGAAAGTAGTAAGCATTGTGTATAAATCAAGACGAAATACGTTTTCTTTGGAGAGGACTTGAGAACAACTGGTATGAACACTAACCAATGCCAGGATAACTGATATACACTCCCCGCAAGTTCATGGGCATGCAAAGGATCAAACTGGCAATGTGGATGTTATTTAGCTAAGGCTTTAGCTAGTCCTATGCTAAATAGGCTAAGTAACCAAAAAGACTCGACCTTGGTAGCTTAAGACCTTGACTCAAAGTATGCCCATTTGTCACCTGGCTTCTGAGACCCACCTTAATCTTTGTCCTTGAACTTTTCCATTCTGAGAGTTAGAAGCAAGGAAAGATCAGCTCAAGGAAGAGTACAAAAAAGGAAGAGGTTTTTTCTTCCTAAAGACTGGAGGTTACCTGGTTCTTGAGGCCTGACTGTAGGCCTTCCCAAGGTGGAAGCAGTATACTGAGAATGTGGCACCAGGCTTGGAATACCAAATGAGAGAGAAAAGCAAGCCAATGAGAAAAGGCAACACATGATGAAAGGCATTTAACCTTTCTTTGGTGTCCCTCCCATTCCAGCTGGATGGTTATATTAGAATCCAGTGAGATTTCTTTAAATGAAGTTGCCTAGGCCAACAGCCATGCATATTGAATGGGCAAATAGAAGCAGTCTCCTCCAAAAAGGAGATAGTTGAGTACAGACTCTATTCAAAATATGCAGCACACAATCTACCCTTTCACTAATAAGACATAGCTGCTTAGACAAAGCTGCTGAATGGCTTAGTCTGTTTTGTCATTGTTCTTAGATATCTGGCTTAGCATCAAAATGAGAATGGTCAGTAGTTTCCTAGGGCTGCCAGAAAATTACCACAAACTAAATGGCTTAAAACAAGAGAAATGTGTTCTTTCACAGATCTGAGGGCTAAAAGTCTGAAATCAAGGTGTTGGCAGGGCTGCATTCCCTCCTATGACTCTAAAGGAGAATGCTTTGCCTCTCTCAGCTTCTGGTGGCTCCTGGCATTCCTTGGCTTGTAGACACATCATTCCAATCCCTGCCTCTGTCTTCACACGGCCTTCTCCCCTGTGTCTCTGTGTATCAAATGTCCCTGTCCTTTCTCTTATAGATACCACCTATCACTGTATTTAGGGCCCACCCTGGTAATCCAGGACAATCTTATCTTTTTTTACTTTTTTACTTAGAAATTTTATTCCCCCAATCACACTATTAAAAGCTCCTTATAAAACACTAAGCAAAAGCAATCCACAGAAAGAAAAGGAAATATATATATAAATATTTATGCCAAAAGCAGTAGCATTACAAATATCAATTGATTTTAAATAGACTATATCAAGGAAGTAAACAATTTTTAAATACCTTTCAAAAATCTCATTTCATCTTCAGAGTGTTACCTTAATTACAGCTGAAAAGACCCTTATTCCAAGTAAGTTTCCATGGTGAGGTCCTGGATGGATGTACCTTTTGGGGGAACATCATTCAACCCACTACAAGCAGTGACTGCTATTTAGAGCCAGAGAGGCTGCTTATGGTAGACACCCTGAGAAGGAGGTGGGGAGGAATAAAGGGAGAGAGAAGGTAAAATATGTGTTGATATACATGAGTATATTAACACCAAGAAATGAGAATATGAATGGTTAACCCTATACACAGGCAAGTCTAATAGGCCTGACACATGAAACCATTAGCTAAAATTCTTGCTTTGGTGAAACAAGAGCAGAGAGGCCAGAAAGGTGAATAGTCTTCCAAGTAATAAAAAATTTCCTGATGAGTAGATGCTGTTGGAAAGCACTATCCTAAAGTAACTTGAAGGAGAAGAAAACCTTTTGCCATTATTGTAAGTCTCTGTTTCTCCGAGCCCATCTACCAGCTTCATTGGAAAGAATGAGGAAGTAGGGTGGAAATCACTCTGTTCACTGTGGTATTCCTGTGGTTTTGCTCTCCAGGTTACTGCAAAGCCCCAGAAGAGTTTCCGTTTGCCAAACCTACAACCCTGACTGATGAGTCTGAGTTTCCGATTGGGACATCTTTGAATTATGAATGTTCCCCTGGGTATTTTGAGGATATGTTTTCTATCACCTGCTTAGAAAACTTGGTCTGGTCAAGTGCCGAAGGTATCTGTAGACGTGAGTAATGCCATCCTGGGAGCTCCTTCACGTATGTCAAGGCCTCTGTGGGATCCAATTTAATTTGTTCAAATTTTGTAGGCAAGACATCTAGGTTTGCCCAAGGCATTTAAATGGAGGGTAGACTTTATCGGTCAGCCTTTCTTTCTTTTTTTTTTTTTTTAAGATTTATTTATTTATTTGACAGAGAAAGACACAGCATGAGAGGGAAAACAAGTAGGGAGAGTGGGAGAAGGAGAAGCAGACGCCCCACTGAGCAGGGAGCCCAATGCGGGGCTCGATCCCAGGACGCTGGGATCATGACCTGAGCCAAAGGCAGACGCCTAATGACTGAGCCACCCAGGCGCCCTGTCAGGTCACAGTGAACAGTGCTTGGCTAATCCAGATGGAGGGGAAATCCCAAATTGTGAGGTTGTTGATTTAGGCTGATGGAATGAGAAAATAATTATTTATCCATAAATGACTTTTATTGGGAGATTCAGGAGTAGTCTTTTAAAAAGCAGTGCTCTGTAGCTGCTTGATTCTGAGCTTGTATGGTGAATTTCCTCAAAGTGGTCATTTCTGTGGAGCAATCAGAAGTATATAGGCTGTTCAGTATGCTACACTCTGGGCTGAACCTTAAAAACAAAGGTAAATTGAACTCTACACCTAGCCCCAAATTCTGCTTGTTTCCCATAGGAAAATCATGTGAAGCTCCACCAGAACCCTTCAATGGCATGGTACATATAAACACAGATACCCAGTTTGGATCAACAGTTCATTATTCTTGTAATGAAGGGTGAGTTGAGAGCACTATCACTAGGATATGGGTTCCAGAACAATACTGTCTCTGACCTAGTCTGACACAGGCAGACTAGACTATCACCTGCACTTCAAAAAGTTAGCAATAAGGACTTCTGGGTAGAGATGGTAGCTTGAACATTGGCATATGGACAAAGGAATATAAAAAAGAAGTAGCAATCTCTACTTGTATTTTAATGAGGGGAGGGCACCAGGCTCCTGCTGAAGGTAATACATGTGAAACCTGGTAAGATATTCACTGGATAAAAAGGACCAGCCTGCTAAATGAGTAAAAGGAGAAATGCTAGCGGAACAATGCAGGCAACATTCTTAACTAAGATCAGCAAGTACTATAGCTGAGTAGGAGGACCTTGAAGTAGGGGTTGGAGAGGAAGTCTTAATGATGTAGTAGCTCTGGGAAATGTAATTATTAACCTGTACACCAAGCAGGATCATTCACGGAGTTCTTGCCCTCAACTCTTCCTTGGCACAGGGAACCATGCTAGATACCACTGCCTCGATGTAGAGGGAGCAATTAAGGAATGTGTACTTTCAGTTGCCACAATAAACTCAGAGAAAAAAATAGAATTTTATTGGATTAGAAAAGTAAACATATATGTATCAGACATATTTGGAAGCCATGAATAACACAAAAATCAAAAAAATCACCACCCAGCATTCTACCACTCATCACAGTTAATATTTTGCTATGAGTTCTTCTAGGATTTTTATCTGAAAATTCACATGTAACCCAGATGTCCATTGAGCTCAATTGCCCCTAGAAGGGAGAGCTGGTTAAATTGGACACAAGCATCAGTGCCGTATCTGGAAATCATCGATTCTGCCCTCACCACCACCCTCCTGCCCCCAACAAGGACTTCTGATTTCTTAGTTCATCAGTCCTTCAAATGACTGTAGCCCCAGTCAACATCAATGACGTTATCAAGACAGTGAAAAGAGAGCCCACAGATTGGCAAAGAATATTTGTAAATCATTTCTCTAACAAGGATTTCATACACAGATTATATAAAGAAGTCCTGCAATTCAACAACAGAAATGCTTACAATGCAATTGAAAAAATGGGCAAAGGATTGGAATAGACATTTCTCCAAAGAGGATATGCAAATGTCCAGGAAACACATGAACAGATACTAAATATTAGTCATTAGAAAAACACACATCAAACCCATTTCACATGTTATAGGATGGCTCTAATAGTTTTTTTTAATGAAAAATAAAGTATAGGGAGGATGTAGAGAAAATGGAACCCTTGTGGTTGCTAGTGGGATCGCTAGTGGGCATGTGAACTGGTGCGGCGCTGTGGGAAGCAGTTCGGTGATTCCAAAGTTACCATGGAATTACCATGTGACCCAGCAATTCCAATCCCAGGTATGTATCCAAAGAGATTGAAAACAGAGACTCAGACAGATAAGGGTTTATCAGCTGTTCTACCTATTTCTATGTACATCCTGATAAATTATATTTTTCCTACAAAATGACACATCTCACAGATGTTTTCAATTTCTTCGGGATAGAGAGGACATAATATTTTTATAAAGTATTTTATAATGTGTCCTTTATAAAAATTCACTCAATATCTATGATTATAACTATTTTCTCATTCTTGTGTATCTGTAGATTTGTTATTTTGTGAAGTTACAATTGGCCAAGATTTGTTTGTTTTAATCAGCCTTTAAAGAAACTGCTCTTAGATTTGCTTATCATTTCTACTCTATTTAAAGAAACTGCTCTTAGATTTCTTATCATTTCTATTCTATTTAAAGAAACTGCTCTTAGATTTACTTATCATTTCTGTTCTATTTTTCATACTTATTGATTTATTAATT